CATATCAAAAGCAGCAGCACAGGGGGGCAGGTGGCTCCCCTGCATGCTCTTCATTTAAAACTTGGACCCGTGGCTGGGATAGAGCCAGCCTGTCAATACAATTTTTAAATGCAATACGCACCAGGAGGTGGCGGGTGTTGTTGAAGTTAAAAGGAACCATTAACCGATTGGTTAACTGGTTAATGGCTACTTGGTTGACAGCCCTAATATGTATTAGCACAACAGAGTTCGTGGAATTTTTTTTTAATGTACATTTACAATCTAGGTGTGAGCCTTTAAAACATATTGTATACTAAAAAAATACCTTTAATCGTGGCAGATCTTTATTAGCCTGCTCTAGTTGGAATCTTAGTTCAACATTTTCAGATGATAACCTCAAATTTTCTTTCTGGAGCTCCTGTTGTCTTTGACACTGATCGTCTGATCCTATTCCTGACGTCTTAAAAAAAGAGAAGGAACAGAATGAAATATTATTAAATCTTGAGGTATTAAGCCTTACACTGGATAACAATCAATAATCTGGGCAAGAAAGACACAAACCTGTTACATTTCACAATGAATTACTAAGACCAAATCAAAGTGTTCATAAAACAGTACTGAGGCTAAACAAAGTGTTCATATAGCAAGATATCTTCTTATAGCATTCACTGATCAGTATTTTATTAATAAGGCAAATAGAGAAAGTTAACATGGATCTTTGACTAAACTTTTTCCTTTAATTCCTTTATAAACATTTTAAAAATTTGCTTAAATTAAGTGAAGGCAGAGCAACTGACAGATTTGCCAGACCCTTGGGAAATATGGGGGTCTGGCTCAGCTCTGTGCCCCCAGAATGGAAGGGCCTCAGGTGGAAAGGATGAGGTGGGGAGGCTAGCGTACCCAAGCTAGCCCTTCAGTGCTCCCACAGCAATTTAAAGAGCCCGAGACTCTGGCTGCTGCCACTACTATAGTACAGGTTGGACCTCCCTGGTCTGGCACCATCGGGACCTGACCAGTCCTGAATGAGAGAATTTGCCAGACCAGGAGAGGTGTCCCTTGCAACCTGCACAGAGCCAGCTGACCTGCCTGTGGCCCCCTCTACTCTCTCCCTAACTGGGCTGTCTGTTGTGCTGTCACTGCCCCCGCAACTCCAGGATGCCATGGGCAACCAGAGGTTCTCCGGCTCCAGCACTGGCTTTATGCTGTCACGGATGGCCAGGTTTCCCTGGCTCCATGCTGCTATAGGAAGCTGGAGCTCTCCAGCCCCCGGCTCCGCACTTCTGCAGGTGTCCAGGCTTCTTTGGCCCCACACGTCTTAGACACTTAAGGTTTCCCAGCCCCGCACTGCCATGGGTGGCCAAGCTTCTCCAGCCTGTAGTCCCCTGCTGCTGCAGGTGGCTTGAGTTCTTGAGCCCTTGGTTCTGTGCTGCTATGGGTAGCCAAGGTTTCCCAGCCCCGCATTTCTGTGGGCCACCGGGGTTCTACAACCCCAACACTGCTGTGGGGCTCCTCCAGCCCAGCTGTCCGAAGTCTTGGCTGTGTTGCTGGCCCTCCTGCCATTAGGCTCCTGGACCAGGAGCATCTGGTCCAGGAAGCATCTGGGGTCCATGTTGCCAGACCACAGGGTGCCAGATTTCAAAGGTGCAACCTGAAGTGGCAGCTGCAGCAGCCAGGAACCTCAGGATCTTTTAAATATCCAGGCCCTAAAGGCAGCTGCCCTCTTTACCTCTCATTCCCCCCTTAATAATACCTAGCTCTTATACTTCACTTGTCACCTTTTCGTTTTTTACAAAGGAGGCAAGCATCATTATTCAAATTTGACAATGGGGAAACCCAATGGTGAAGTAATTTGCCTGAGGTCTCCTAAAGGGTCAGTGGCAGAGCCAGGAAGAGACACCAGGTTCTTTGAGTACCACCTTACTGCTCTGGTGACTAAACCGAACTGTAACTATTCATTTAGGTATTTTGCATCAAATTCATGACCACAAAATCTGAGCACTGAATAAGATGAACAAATTACAATGCAAGTAAAAGATGTGTAATTATTTCTACTGTACTTTTACAGAGACAATTTTGAAATACTTATAAATTGTCACTACCATGATGTCCCTCCAGCTGTGCCTGCTAGAGCTGCAGTGGCCATGGAAAGGCACCTCTCACCTGGCCCGGCCATGGAGAGGCACCTCTCACCTGGCCTGAAGCTGCTGTAGTGAGAGAGGGCTGGGGTTGTCCTCTCCCCCTAGAGATGCCTGTCTACTGAACCCCCCATCCTCAGCCCCCACCCTCCAGTAATGATTTAAATGAAATACATAAAATCATTGAGTTAAGGATCCGATCAAAGATAAAATAAACTGATATTCTACACATAGTTAGAATTGATTAATTAAGTATCCCCAATAAAAACATAGGAATAAATAACTGCCTCAATAGGAAAATATATTCTTCTCTCTAATATAAAATATATTGTCACAACATGGATTGCTAAAGAAGCTCACAACAGGAAGAAACAAACTATTCTAAAATAAATAGTTTGGCCTGTATAATTTACACATATAAACAATGCAGCTAATAGGGAAGTGAAGGATTAAAGGTCTGCTACAGTGTCAAACCTGGGGCATTTCATAAAGTCCTTGGGTTGGTTCAGTCCCCTCTGTATCAGTTTGGTGATTTCCACATTTATCTTCAGTGTGTTTATCCCCTCCATTATTCATTTTTATATTCTCTGATATATAATCATTAAGTTGATTAGAAGGCTCCCCTGAATCAGGCTGATTGCAGCTCATTCTATCAGAACAAGATTCATCTCTACTTCCTTCATTATTAGCAGCTGATTGCATGCGTACTTCTTGCTTCCCTTCTTTTTCTCCTTCATTACCTTCATCCTCTTCAGGCTCTGTTACATTTTCTTGTTCATCACTGACATCCTCTTCATCAGTTTCCATTTTCAGAGAGCTATTCCTTTTTCCTTTTGATAGTAACCTACACTTATTTGAATCCTCAAGTTTTTCACAATCTTCAGATTCCTGTTCTGCAGTCAGTTCAGTAATTGCATATCTAGTAGCCTGATGACATTCATCAGTAACATTTTCACCTTCATCTATTCCACTGTAATTTGCAATACTAAGAGTAGGGTGGTGTTTTAATTTGCCCTTACTTAAAGCAGTTTTCTTCCACGGATATTTCAAATGCTTATGTTTATTGACATTATTAGCAAAAGAGGAGTTAGTCAATGCAGCTGAGTCACATGCAGCACTCTGAAGTAGAAGAAAGGTGTAATGAAGCACAAAAAGTGGATAGTAAAAGAAATAAGACAGCACATCTATATATAACATCATGTCCACCTGTGGAAGGTTCAATAAGAACCAGGAAATTTGACATTAGGAATGCATTAAGGTCATTACTGCTTCCTCAAACCCTCCTCAATTCTCTATTGCTATGGACTACACAGTATTCTCCCAGTCTCTCAATCTCACAGTACTGCATAACTGCTGACTTCTTGTCTCCTTCCTACACATCAAAGTGCTAACAGTAGTGCTGTTTCTATCTGCAGGACATTTAAAAGAGCTGGAGGTTCTTCTCTATCCTAAAAGCTAAAAATACTCTTGTTTCACAGTCAGCATGACACAAACACGCCCATGCATTTCATACATCCGTGTCTGACCATTTTCTTAATATTACATGGAAAGGGGTCTGCTGTGGTCTCTGCCAAACATTAAAACTATCTTACTTTCATGTTTATCACAGGATGTTTGTGTGGGAAACAATTTTAGATTGATGTAACCTGTAGGATATTGTATTTCAAATCTGTGAGTGAAATGTATCACCTTAGGAGGGATAGTCTGACAGCAGACCCAACCGATGTAAGAACAATGAACATTCATGGAGACAGCCTTTGGTTACTGTCTGGACTAGATACATACAGGAGATTTACAGGACATCTATAAAAGAGCAGGAGAAATAGCTCTAGTGGTTATCCATTACAGAACACTACCCCTGGAAAGGAGAGGCCTTATGAATGGTGAATTCCAGCTTTATAGGCTGCACAAGAACTGAAAGATTGACCATTGGATGCAAAATAATTCATTAGGGAGGAAAAGAACGGTTACTTACCTGTAACTGTTGTTCTTCGAGATGTGTTGCTCATGTCCATTCGAAGTAGGTGTGCAAACCGCGTGCACCGTGTCTTCTGGAGCGTTTTCCCTAGCAGTAGCCGTAGCGCCGGCAGGGTGCCCCCTGGAGAGGCGCCGCCATGGCGGGGCATAAGTACCCCTGCTGGCGCTGCCCCACCTCAGTTCCTTCTTGCCGGACACTCCGACGAAGGGGAGGTAGGATGGGAGTCAAATGGACATGAGCAACACATCTCGAAGAACAACAGTTACAGGTAAGTAACCGTTCTTTTCTTCTTCGAGTGGTTGCTCATGTCCATTCGAAGTAGGTGACTACCAAGCTAACCCCACGGAGGAGGGGTCGGAGCAATCAGACCACCAGAGTCATGAAAAAGGTGAACAAATAAACTGATTTATTTGAACAATCCAACACAGATAAGGCACGTATTAACAACAATAACAACAGAACATATTTACATTACAGATTCGAGGACTGCAGAGCCCACACTTGCATCCTCCCTGGCCTGCTGTGCTAGCGCATAGTGCGCCGTAAACATGTGGAGGGAAGACCATGTGGCCGCCCTGCAAATTTCCGTGATTGGTACCTGAGCACCAAAAGCTACCGAGGACGCCTGCGCCCTGGTAGAGTGTGCCTTTACCCTGGGTGGGGTTTTACCAGCCAGGTGATAACACTCCACTATACATTGCACCACCCATCTTGATAACCTTTGCGTAGAAATAGGTGACCCTTTCCCCTTATCCCCAAATGCCACAAACAATTGTTGGGATTTATGGAAGGGCTTGGTTCGGTCAATATAAAATGCCAGCACTCACTTGGCATCCAGGGAGTGTAGAACACGCTCCTTAGGGGAGGCGTGTGGTTTAGGGAAGAACACCGGTAGATAAATCACCTGAGACAGGTGAAAAGGAGAAACCACCTTCGGAAGGAAGGTCGGATGAGGCCGTAGCCTCACGTTATCATGTGAAAAAACAAGGTAGGGCGGCTCTATAGTCAGCGCCCTTAGCTCTGATACCCTTCTAGCAGACGTAATGGCTACTAGAGGTGCTTCAGGGAACACGTGGCCAGTGGTTCAGAGGGGGGTAACATAAGCCTGTGGAGGACCACATTGAGGTCCCAGGCGGAAAGCGGGGCCCTCACTGAGGGATACAACTTTTCTAAACCAGTAAGAAACCTTTTAACCACCAGGTTAGAAAAGAGGGAAACTCCTGCCGTACCAGCATGGAAGGCGGAGAGAGATGCCACATGGACTTTGATAGAAGAAAAGGAAAGGCCACTGGACCGAAGCTGGAAAAGATAGTCAAGGATAGCTGGAATAGGAGCCAAGGGCGGGTGTACTCCTCTCCGGGACGCCCAAGACGAGAAGCGCCGCCACTTGGCAGCGTACGACCATGTAGTAGAGGGTTTCCTGCTACTGAGGAGCACCATCTGAACCTCTTGGGAACATTCCCTTTCAGGTTGGTTCAGCCATGGATAAACCAGGCCATTAGGTGGAGAGACCTGAGATCCGGGTGAACCATGGTCCCCTCGTCCCAAGTATGAGTTAGCAGGTCCCAGACTGGAGGGAGCGCTATTGGGTCTTGGGTAAGCATGTCCACTAGAATGGGGAACCAGAATTGCCTGGGCCACCTGGGGGCTATGAGAATGATCGTGGACCAAAAAGTCCTCGCTCTGGTCAACACCCTGGAAATTAGGGGAAACGGGGGAAAAGCATAGAGAATGCCCTCTGGACACACAGCCGTCAGGGCATCCCCCAGGGAATATTTCCCCAGTCCCAGAAGGGAACAGTAGTTCCGGCACTTGGCATTGTGTGCCGAGGCGAACAGGTCTAGGAGGGGATAACCCCACCTGTGGAAAACCTGACGCAGAACAAAGTCCTTGAGCGACCACTTGTGGGCTCCAAAGGATCTGCTCAGCGTGTCTGCTAGCAGATTCTTGCACCCCGGGAGGTATTCCACCTGTGGCGTGATATCGTGCCTCATACACAGGTGCCAGAGTCACAGGGCCTCTTTGCAGAGGGGGGGGTGACCGTGCCCCCCCACTGCTTGTTGAGATAAAAGAACGCGCTGCTGTGTTGTCCATACGAACCAGGATCGAGCGGTGAGAGAGTCTTGGCAGGAAGGCTTCGCAGGCTCTTCTCACCGCTCGCAATTCCCGGACGTTTATGTGCAGGGTTCATTCGGAGGGGGACCAGAGGCCTTGAGTCCTGTGCTGCCCCAGGTGTGCTCCCCATCCCAGGTCGGCTGCATCGGTGACCAGCGTAAGGGAGGGGCGAGGGGCATTGAAAGGGACCCCACTGCGTATCATAGTTTCCTGGGTCCACCATAGGAGGGAGTTCAGAATCTCTGGGGGCACTGTGATTATTGAGTCCCAAAGACCCCGGGATTGGCTGAAGGCCTTTGCCAACCAAGCCTGCAGGGGTCTCATTCTCATTTTGGCATGGCGCATCGTGTACGTGCATGCCGCCATATGGCCCAGGAGCCTGGAGCAGACCCGAGGGGTCGTGATAGGGGACCGGGTTAACCTTGAAATCAGCTCCACTATGGAGAGGAACCTGCTCTTGGGCAGGAACGCTCTTGCCACCCTTGTGTTGAGAAGGGCTCCCACGAATTCTAGATGCTGGGAGGGAATCAGGGACGACTTTTTGTCATTTATCATGAGCCCTAGTTTTAGGAAGAGGGCTTTCATGAGTGCCATGTGAGCTTTTACCTGCTCGTACGAGCGACCTTGGATCAGCCAATCGTCGAGGTATGGGAACACGTGCACCCATTGTTTGCGGAGAAACGCGGCAACCACTGCCATACATTTGGTGAACACCCTTAGTGCCGTACATAAACCAAAGGGGAGCACCGTAAACTGAAAATGGTGTTGGCCCACCATAAACCTGAGAAATCTCCTGTGGCTGGGCCTGATCGCCACGTGGAAGTACGCATCCTTGAGATCGAGAGTCACGTACCAGTCTCCTAACTGTAGCACTGGGATGACCGAGGCCAAGGTCACCATTCTGAACCTGTGTTTTATGACTGCCTTGTTTAAATTTCGGAGGTCCAAGATGGGACGGACTCCTCCCTTCGGTTTGGGGACAACAAAATATCGGGAGTAGAATCCCCTTCCCCGCAGATGTGGGGGAACCTCCTCTATTGCCCCTTTTTTGAGGAGGATGTGTTCTCCTGGCAAAGAATGTGTTCGTGAGGGGTGTCCCTCAATAAAGACGGAGAAGGGGGTTTTGAAGGTGGTGGGCCCAGGAATGGGATAGTATAGCCTCCATTTACTATGTTCAGAACCCACGCATCTGATGTAATTAGAGCCCATGCACGGGCAAAAAGGGATAGCCTGGGCCTAACCGTGGGGCCAGGGCGGGAGACCAGTACGGGACTCTCGAAAAGGGTGTCAAAATTGGGGCTTGCCCTGATGGGAAGGACCGTGGGGACCTCCCTGCTGGTTATCCGTCCTGGGGCGACGACGTCGACCCCGAACCCGCTGTGGGTGTGCAGCCGCCCCGGAACCTCCACTGGAGGCCCGGGAGCGGCGCCTCCAGTAATCCCCCCGCCTCCCCGCTGGTTATCCATCCTGGGGCGACGACGTCGACCCCTAACCCCCTAGGGGTGCGCAACCGCCCCGGAACCTCCACCAGAGGCCCGGGAGCGGTGCCTGCAGTAATCCCCACAGAGGACAAGGACTTTAACGTGGACCTTGTGTCCTTCAGGGTATGGAGCCTAGAGTCAGTGTACTCTGAGAACAGAGTTTTGCCCTCGAAAGGCAAGTCCTGGATCGTATTTGCACATCCGGGGGAATTCCTGAGACGTGCAGCCATGCCCCACGACGCATAACGACGCCAGTCGCCATAGTGCGGGCTGCCGAATCCAAGGAAGCCTGGAGAGCGGTGCGTGGAGGGCGGTTCGTGCAATAACTTTGCCCTCAGAGGCAATGGCCGCGAACTCCTGACGGTCCTCCACTGGGAGTCTGTCTCTGAACTTTTCGACGGCCTGCCAGGTATTAAAAGCATACCGACTTAGCATCGCCTGCTGATTAGCGATGCGGAGTTGTAGTGCCCCTGTGGCGTAAACCTTACGGCCCATCAAATCCAGCTGCTTAGGCTCTCTTGCCTTTGGAGAAGGACCGGGCTGAGGGAGCCTTTCCTTTTGGGCTGCGGCCTGCACGACCAAGGACCCCGGGATGGGCTGTGAATACAGGTATTCATGCCCCGAGTGTGGGACGTAATAACGCCTCTCGACCCCTTTTAAGGTAGGGGTCAAGGTCGCCGGCATTTGCCACAGGGCATTAGTAATTTTGGACACCGTTTTGTTAAGCGGTAAGGCCAACTGCGTAGGCGCATCCTCCGTGAGGATGTCCACCATTGGATCCGTGTCCTCAATGACAGGTTCCGCCGGAACGGCCAGGTTGGAAGCCATGCGCCGCAGCAGATCCTGGTGCGTACGGGCATCCATAGAAGGCAGACTTGGTGCCGGGTCTGCTAGTGCCTTGTCCAGAGACGACAACGACGACAATGATTCTTGAATTGGCACAGGAGTGGTTGTTGCCAACTGCGGTGCCGGTTGGGCAACTTGTGCCCCCGATGGGTCCGCCTCCGGTGCTGATGCCTGCGCTGCTGGATCGGGTTGTGGCACCCGAAGTGGGGAAGGAGGGGCCCGGGACAGGCACGCCAATGGGTGGGGACGGGGCC